GAGACAAGAAAGGCGAGGCTCACCAAGCCATTTATCTCTCCTTCCTTCAATTAATCCCACTTGTGCTTATCGGCCAGGCTGGCACAATAAACTAACTATCTCACACTGTGAGTGGCCATGAGGGTTTATAAGTATTCAAAAGCTGGACAGTGGGAAGAGAGAATTCCAACTGTGGAGCTGTGAAGAGCATTGAATATACCATGGAGTAGCGGAGAATGAACAAATGGGTCTTAGGTGTACAATCAGAATGCCTCTGAGACATTCCAGGGGCAAGACTTTGACTCATTTCGTTTGGACACAACATCAGGAAAGACCAATTGCTAAAAAAAAAAGAATGCCAGGCAAGACAAACAAGAGAAACATTCCAATGAGCTGGATTGATACAACCAGGCTCGTGAGGATGGCACAGGTCCAGGCAGAATTCTGTTCTGCTCTATGCACGGTCAGCCTACGTCCAAGTTGACTGGATGGCAACCAACACCAACAAATTTTGAAATAAAGTGTCACGTGTGTCACGTGAGAAGGAAGGTGGAGGAAAGGGAGTGGGCAATTTCAAGATGAAAAAAGTGTGAAACAACCAGAGACAAGGGAAACAAGCCTCCCGAAGGAAATGCCCGGTGGTAAGGTGTGCACGTCGAGGTCTTTGATCGTAACGTAAAGTCTAACCAGCCACTCCAGCTGTGGTTTTTCTCTGCTGACAGGCAGAACTGCTCCCGTTGGAAGGAAGGGACAGTAGGGCTTACACGGGCTACCACTGGTGCCAATCACTCTGAACCACACGGAGTGTCGGGGACATTCCAAAGGCTCCCAGTTTGCCTGGGAGAGTGGATACGACAAAAACTGAACAAGAAAGAGGAAAGTCGGTGGGCAGAACAGAAATCCGGCGGTGCAGACGGTCCCTCATGACTACGGAGTCCTGGGAGAACGTAACAGCGGGTAGAAAGGAGGGGCGCTGCTGGAGACAAGGCCAGAGACAGAGCGCAGGGTGCAGACGGTTCAGCCTTGGGGACCCGGAAGTCACACCGAAAGCAGAAACGGGTCAGTGAAGAGGGTCTCCACGAGACAAATAACCAGGTGCTCGGGCTAGCGCATTTATGCAAACCACAGCCAACCCAGTTACTCAGCCAGGCGAACTACAGCCAGGCAGTTGCTCTTACTCAAGGTGACCCCCATCGGTGCCCAGCGGAGAACTGGGCTCAGCAGAGTTCACACAACAGCTGTTGTTTGGGAAGCACATGACCAGGTTTTTCTTCCAAGACAACACCAGGTAGACTTGAACCTCTAGCCTTTCAGTTACCAGTCAATTGTATTAACCATTTGCACTAGTCAGGAATCAATCTAGCATGATAGTGAACGAAAATGAACAAATAATTATGTTGCCCATTAGTTTTGTACCCCAACTAGAAATAAGCTACTCACAATTGAAGTGGAGAAAAAAATCCCCTCAGCTGCCTCCCCAAACCCTATGAATTATGTCATTATCGAAAAGTCCTTCCTTCTCTCCTCCAACATAACATTCTGTCTTCAAACAACGGATACTTGGATCATATTTCTATGGTTTATTGTTATAACCAACATAAACCCAAGCGTCCTCCCCTCAAACGTGTGCTTCTAAATCATTTGATCTTCCATTTTGAACAGAGTTCCCCAACTGTATACTCCAATACAGAAATGTGAAATGTGAGATGTTTACTTAAGGGATACAGGGATTGGGGCTCAGAAAGGATTGAAGGATTTCCTCCTTTAATCATAGAGCTCATAATTTTACAGAAAAAACAGGCTGCAGTGTGAGGGATCTCACAATAGCAATTCTTCCTGGTTAGATGCTGCCTTTTCCCTCCCAAGTGCTTTACACTTTACAAGTCCCTACTTCCTGCAAGAAGACCCAAACTTCTGGTGGCACCAACTTCCATGGCGAATCAGCAGACCATTCACTTAATGCAGAAAGTAGAGGCTCACCTTCAATTTTCATGTAACACAACTCCTAGACTCCAAAGCCCATTCATCGAATCCCTTTGGGTTTTTTGTGTGATGATTTTGAAGGTTCCTTTTGTTAACTTGCACTGTTTGTGTGAAACAATCCAGGCTTAGGTATATGTTCATTTTTATTTCTTTGAAGCAGCGTGGTTGTTTTCTATGGACACCAGCAAGTATGTAACACAATACTGGTAAAGACCTGTGGGTTCACCAAGAATGCCCCTTCTCTCCGTACTCAGACATTGCTTCGCTCCTCACTCTGCCTCGCTCTAATACAACCAGTTTTCCACCCATCCAACAGCCAAAGGAAAAAAATGTCATCTTATAAATTATGACCTATCACTCATTTTGCTTAAAATTTTCCAAGAAGTTTCTTATTGCATTTAGACTAAAATGGAAACTTTAATATTTATTTATCATAATCTCCATTTATACTTTCAAACATACCCACACATCAAAACAAACAAACCCTGTTACCATTGAGTCAATTCTAACGCATGGTGACTCCATGTTTTACCAAAGAGAACTGCTTAGAGTTTTCTTGACTGTAACCTTTACGGAAGCAGATGGACAGGCCTTTCTTCTACAGTGCCTCAGTGGGCTCAAACTGTCAACTTTTAGGTTCATCGTTGAGCACATACCATTTACATCACCCAGTGTCCTCAATTTCACCCTGTTCCCTCACCACGAGAGCCAGAGTGTCCCTCTTTTGCTGAAATCTAGTAGCTCGTCTCTTACTCAGAGCGGACGCCAGAGCTCTCCCCATCCCTACAATCTGTCAACCCACTGCAGTCGGACATCTCCAGTGCTACCCTTGCTAGCATGCTTTCCTTGTGCATGCCAAGAACGTTCTTCCCCATTCTCCAGCACAGCACGCTCCTCCGCTCGTGCAGGTCTTGGTGCATGTGTCATCTCCTTGTGAGACCTGGGTACAAACTTTCCCATCCCCCACCCCCAGGTCCCTTTCCTGCCCTAGTTATTTTTCCCTCCAGAGCCTTTAGCCACATCTGAGACAACACAGATTTTACACTCTATTGGCCTACTAGGATGTTAGCTTCATAGAGAACGGACTCTTAATCTATTTTGTTCATTTTGGTTTCCCAACATCTGAAGTAATGTCTGGCACATTATAGGTGCTTAATAAATATTGCTGAATAACTGAATCAATCTTCCTCATCGTCTTTTCTTGGCGCACGTTTTCAATCAATTTCAGCCACATTATCCTTCTCTCTCCCTTCTCCAACAGACCAAACCCATTACGGCCCATTTGCCCTTGTTTCTCTCTGGGATGCTCTAGCATGCCCGTGGGGGGTGGGGGTGGGGACTAGCTCCCATTCGACTTGCCCCACGCCAAGCATGTTGACTCATGAACCCACTTGTTTATTTTCTGTCTCCACTCCTGAAATAAGAGTCTCTAGAGCAGGGTCTGTCTTGTTCAGTTACTTTTTGGATGCCTGGAGGGGGCTTGGCCCGTAGTAAGTGCTCAGTAAATATCCCCAGAAATGGTGGATTTGTTACCGCAGGAATACATGAAGAACGAAGACAGTCGTAGAGGCGCTTTGGGCTCTAACGTTTCTGTGGCACAGAATAGTTGACAAAGAGCACTCTCACACAGCTCACTGACTGACATGAAAGCCACACTGGTAATTTGTACAATGCAGTTGCTGGGTCTGACAAACTGCCCACCGCTAACTGAATGGATAGGGATTGGAATCCACCTAGAGGGGCCAGTGTGGTACAGATCTACTGAGAAATCAACCCATGAAACTCCCATGGAACACCTTTCCACTCTGATACATGTGCAATTACCAGAGTCAGAATGCACTCCAAGGCAAGTGGATATTCATTACAGTTGTTATTACCTAGCTTTTGTGTATGAGAAAATGGCTGGCTATAGGACTGGGCCAAGAATAACTATTAAATGTCTCGCGGAATCTAACTCCCCAGCTCTTTCAACGGTGCTGCAATCTAGTCGCATTCAGCAGGATTTTCAAATTCTTACAAATACAGTCAAGAACCACACATTTGAAGGCAGTACTTCATATTCATCTAAAGAAGTTCATCGAGTGAACTTGTTTTCTATGAATATGCTAGTAATTTAAGAATGCAGTGTTACAATCATTCTTTGTAATCAGTACACATTAAATGTATCGGCTTAGAACTATTCTGATTGTTGGACGTGTGCCTTTGAATAAAGAATCAATTTGACAATCTTTGAAAATACACTTTTAGACAGGGCCAAAGGTGTTTGAAAGCGCGTGGAGGTAGGGCTACAAACACAGCTACAGCCGGGAATCTGCGGTAGTGAGGTGTCACTTGGTGCGGATTCTGCTTTAAGGAAGTTTCTGGGGGTTCTGGCCCTTCCTGAAAACTTGGGGAACGTGCAGAGCACGCTGCCAGACACGCGCCACTGAAGTTGCCGTGTAGACTCCCAGCGTGCGGTTCCCAACCACCGTCAGACCCAGGCTGGTCCAAGAGCACCGAGGCCCAGGAGGAGCGGCCTGACCGCCCCC